GTCTTCAACACCGTGAGCCACCCAACCCCCTACCGCGGCCGGAGAATAACGAAGTCCGAATCTTTGGCGCAAACCTACCGCAGAGAGGTCTCGGCACCAATCTTCCCGAGAGCGGTCAAGGCCTCGGGCTCGACCTCGATAGACTCTGCCTCAGCTCGGATCGAGACGATCTGCTCGCCAGTTGTCGTACGAGAGAGGGGCGGGGGATCAACGGAAAATGCAACCAAAGCCTGGAAGTTAACGCCTCAAGCAGCAAGGGGGGGAGGTATACTCATTGCCGTTCATGCCGTAGTCGTTACACCATCGACCTCGCATCGCTACGAAGCCGGGACGGGGTACGCGCTAGGGATTGTGGGAGGGGGAGGGGATGGGGTGAATCTACCAAAAATGCGACCAAAGCAGCTAATAGGGGGGTTAAGCGTATCGGGGGGGAGGGACGGCAACAACGGCAAAGGGGCGAGGGGCCTCAGCTTAGTGGTGCCTTCCTTGATCGGGGGACTCGACCGCCGCTTTCGACGCCACTACTGCTGTCAGCGAGAGCAATACCTTAGTCTTACCGTCACTGGCAACAAGTGTGGACACTGAGGTCAGACGAATCAGCAGCAGTAGCAGCGGCAGCAGCGGCAGCAGCAGCAGCAGCAGCAACAACAACGCTACCACCACCACCACCACCACCACCACCACCACCACCAACAACAACAACAACAACAACACAACAAACAACACAACACAACAACACCAAACACCACCACCACCACCACCAACAACAACAACAACAACAACACCAAACAACAACAACAACAACAACAACAACAACAACAACAACAACGCTACCACCACCACCACCACCACCACCACCACCACCACCACCACCACCACCAACAACAACAACATTCCCGTTCCCCTCCACTCCCACCGCCTCACCATCTCCATCTCTGGTATGCTGTAAGGCATGGTGCGGATGATAAGCATGCGGTCCAGCAGGTCAACCGGAACGCCGTGGGGAGCGAGAACATCCGTACCGCGGATCGTGCACACGCCGCGGTTCGTCGCGAAGATAACGATGGGACTGAGGCTCGACTCCAGCGCTCTTGCCACACGGAGAAGGAAAATAGAAAGGCAAAGGGTCCGTAATTAAGAAATGTCAATATCGGGCCGCAAAAACAATGAAGGCGAGGTGGAGAAGCAGGTCTTTAGGTCGGAGCGCTACTTTTTGAAGAAAAGAGTAGCATATGCAATGTCGATTGCACCCCCTTTGGCCGTGAAACAGAGATGTCAGAACCCACTCCAGTACTACCACGATATGCGCACCCGAAAACAACAACCAATACATCCAAAAATTTAAAATTTAAAATTTCAAAGGGACGTTTACTGACGATATGTCGTAGGCTTTGGAAGTATGTGTTAACGCGCCTGTGTTTCGGAATCGGCGATTTCCGCACACCTCCACAAAACTCGAAAAAACAAAATCAATAAATAATGGAGACCGGAACTCCTGCGCTACAGAAGGAAGGCAAACAAATACCGGCCGGTCGGCCGAATTCACTACCCACCTGTTGAGGTACGTGAAGCACTCGATGTCCAGCATGTGCACCTCGTCCACGAACAGCACGCCCGGCACCAGCTCCGCCACCCCCTGGTCGATATATCGGTTCACCACCTGCGGTAGTATAGTACATGGCAGCAACAGTCGACGAAATGCCCAAACGCCGAAAATTGGACGGTAGGGGTCTGTGGTGAGTAAAATGTGTTAAAAGTTTGGTCAAGCGCCTGTTGTTGTTGTTGTTGTTGCTGTTGTTGTCTTGACATGTCTTGACATTCAAAATCGTTCCGATCTCTCTCTACTCAGTGGCCTCGTCTCCGTACAAGCCTCACACTTGACGGGGTCAATTCCCGTAGTCACAGCGATTGGAACAAGAAAAACCCATACGAAACATCTGCCAAACACCGTTATTAATCCCAAACACACGCACAGAGGGTTTAACGATGCATATGGCCACATAGAAAATCATACCAGTCATGCATGCAATGGAGTATACGCAAGTTTTACAATGCCGCACGAGACGGCTGACTGCGAAATCGTCTTGCACCCAACACTGACGGCGCTTCGTTGGTCGGCCGATCCTAATAACCGAGCGAGACTTTTTTGGCTCGGACCACAAGAGCCCCCCACATCTTTTGTGACAGCAACCGCCGACAAGTTCACCGTACAAAGGCATCCTCGACGCACCCTTCACCAACACGCTCAACAGTCGTGAACCTCAAGCATGCTTTGTCTGCGATGTACTGCTGTCCTAAACTCCCAGCCGTTGTTCTCCCGAAAAACAACAAACATCACACTCGCTCAAAAACTGCACGCCAAAGCCACGCTAACTAATTCCGCGTAAGCGGTAGAACCTTGTGAACAAAAAACAAAAAACCACACAAAACAAGAACGACTACACTATTACAGCAGTAGCAGTAGTGGGGAGAATCTGGTTGAGGTACACTACTACATCAATAGCAGTAGTGTGGAGATTCTGGTGGAGGCACACCACTACATCAATAGCAGTGGTGGCGAGATTTTGGTGGGGGTACACTTCGACATGAGTAGTGCGAGATTTTTGGCGGCGGCAGAGTACCTTGTTGATCTCCGTCCGGAGCTTCTCCGTGATCTCCGTCTTCTTGGGCTTCATGAGCTGTCCCATCATGCTAAGGACGTCCTGACCCCCTTGAGGGCGTGCGTTCGCAACGTCCAGGTCGTGGAGGGTAACGTCTTGCACGATCTACGTCGTCGACGGGAACAACATCGACCGACCAAGGGACACCAGGGGGGGGGGGGTTACTCATGTTTGTTTCGGATGCCGTTGTTGTTAGACCTTTGACTACGCGTCGTCCTGTTGAGAGGACGGAGCTTGGGCGTGCGCCTTAGGGCGATATCGGTCTGTTGGTTGCTGTCAACCAGACTCTTGAGATTCGGTTCCGAAGTTCCCGGCAAGACAAAAAGGGCGACGAAGAGCGACGAAGGCAGCAAGACGGCGAATCGGCCAAGTTGAAGACCAGAGACTAAACAGCGCGCATGGTCACGAATAGCCGCAATCTTGTGGCGTACTCTTTGTGTGTGTTCGTGACTTTTAGCGGTGAGACCAGCGACCACGCGTCCTCTCGAGAGGACGGAGCATTGTCCCTTCAGACCCGATCACCCATGACCAATCCTTCCTTCCAACTTTGCCGAAAAGGCGGTCGGGGGGCAAGGGGCACGCGGGAAAGTCAAGCACCAGAAAGTTTCGCACCCGACCTATATGACCTATATGACCTATATGACATGTATGACCTATATGACCTATATGACATGTATGACCTATATGACCTATATGACCTATATGACCTATATGACATGTATGACCTATATGACCTATATGACCTATATGACCTATATGACATGTATGACCTATATGACCTATATGACCTATATGACCTATATGACCTATATGACATGTATGACCTATATGACCTATATGACATGTATGACATGTGGCAGCGGAAGTGCGCAGCACCAACGCCAGCCGGACACGACACGGGGCGATGTTTCAAGGCGCTTTTTCAGACAAAACCCAACTCCCTACCACACGCAAAATACCGCAACAAAAAAAAAAGAAGCAAAAAAAAAAAGCCAGGGAAACAACCTTCACAAACCTCCTTCTTCTTGTGGACCTCTCCCTTGGGCAGGGGTACGTACTCTTCCGCCTCCAGATCGAACTCCTGAACAAACACAACACCAACATCAAGATCAAGAGCGATACGTGGGGGGGGGGGGGGGCAAAAAGGGAGGGGGGAGGGGGGGGGGGTTTGGGGAAAATTTTTGGCGGCCCGGAAAAAAGGGGAAAAAACGGGGGGTGGGGCGGGCCCCCGGGGTTCTTTTTAAACCATTTTAAAAAAACCTTTTTTTGTAAAAAAAAAAAAAAGGATTTTTTGGGGCTTGTTTTTTCAAAAACCCAATCCCCCCCACCCAAAAAAAAAAAAACCACAAGGGTTAGGGGGGGGGGGCCCCCAAAAACCCCCAATGGGGGGTGGGGGGCGGGAACCCGTTGGGCAAATTTAAAAATTTTTGGAAACCCCCCCAAAAACGGAAAAAAACCTTTTTTAAAAAAAAAAAAAAAAAAAAAAAAAAA